TGATTGGATGACGTCACTACCGGTCTCCCCATACCTCCTCGGCCAGATTCAGTACGTTCCAATCGGATTCAACAGCCTCGAAAAAGATCGTCCGAAAAATACTACTTACCGTAGGAATTTAAACTCAAAAATCAATACAGTCATTCCTTAACGTTTTGAGATCCCAAACACAAAATTTCATTGTGATCGGAGAAACTGACGTTTTTCGTCACAGTCCCGCTTTAATTCGGACTAAAATATTCCAACCTTGTATTTTTTTTTTTTTTGCCTTGCTATATTTTGTATTATTATGTTTGACCTCCGGTTATGGAAAAAGGGATTCACAATGAATTTTCTAGGACGCAAAAAAATTGCGAAGGTGTTGTCTTTAGGGTGAGTAGGACAGCCTGAAGGTTAGTGATCTATTCTAAACTTGCAGCAGAAATAGACCTTGAGACGTGATTTACTCGAGGATCTAAGTCACGAAATTTTGCATCATTCGCTTGACCCTCAGAATATATCTCTAACCTGAAAATAGCAAATTTCCTCTGTAGTTTTTTTTATTTCGTGTTATGCCTCACTGGTTGAGTGTATTCTCAGCCAATGAGCAAGCTGAAAGTTTTGTATGCATATTTTTACAAACAGGTATATTTTAGAGGTGTATTGCATCCTCCATAGTCAGCTCTCTGCCAACTATACACATACATTGAAAACCCAAAACTTCGTACATGCCGCCATTATTTAACGGGTAACATTTTTTAGGCACATTTGTATACTTCATTTAGGAGGCCCATACATCAAAGTTTCAGTAGACTACTCTCTCATCAGCGATTCAGACTCTCATAACAACCTAATAAAAGTTCCAAGCTAAATCAAACGCAATTCGTTTTGATCGTGTTCGTATCACTCGATTCACATCGATTTAAGTTGAGACCGTCACGTTTGATATTGGCCATTGGGCTTGAACTTTGTCATCCTATTTTGCAGCTTTGGTCATAGAGGAAAGGGAAAACTTGGCTCTGATCTCTGCAATCATTGTCTCATTTAAAAATGTCTGCCTCTCCGGACCCAGATGGGGTGCTTCGTTCTTCGAAAGGGCGAGATAATTTTCAAAGGATGGCACGGATGTTGATATGTGGAGGTACTGTACTATTGAGGGAGGTTTTTGACACGAGATGTCCACCAAGCAATCTTCCCACAACACTTCAGAATCCAGCCACAGTGAAGCTTCTTAAGGCGGCAAAACTCACCAAACCACAGTGGGACTGCCTATACCCCTCCCCGGGGGTGTATGGAAAGTCTACAGATTTTGATATAACTCTCCTTTTCCGGTTGCTGAGGACAATATGCAGCCTCACCCCTCCTACTGCGGGCTGGGATTGTTTACCTGCAGGTACAGATCACAGCTTTGAAGCCGATTTAGCAAGAATTAAATACTACCGCAATTTGGTATATGGTCATGTGAACGAGAACATGGAAATAACTGATGATGAGTTTTTAGTTTTTTGGAGAGAAATTAGCGAGGCTCTGGTGAGAATTGCGGGTCAATTCAGCCCTTCAAAGGCAACAGAATGGCAGAATGCTATTGATGCATTTTTAGAAGATCCCCTCACTGTGGAAGACAAGAGACATGAGCAGGAATTGCAGCGCTGGTATCAGAACGATACAGAAGTAAAAGAAATCATAGAATCTTCAATGAAACATTTGCAGAAAGAAATCGAATATTTAGGACAAGAAGTTCGAGATGAAGCCCAATGTATTAGAGATCACCTCGGAGGGGAAGTGAAAACCACGACCCAAGAAGTACAGCGCTTAGGACAAGAAGTCCGAGAAGAAGCCCTTAGCATTAAACATCAGCTTGGTGAGAAAGTAGAATCTACAGCCCAAGAAGTGCAGCGCTTGAGCCAAGTGGTAGGAGATGAAGCCCAAGGCATCAAAGATCAATTAAAAATGTGTGGCCGACGCAATTCCTCTGCTGGAGGTCAGACTGTTGATTTTTTTTTCTGCATACCTTTTACTAATAGAGTATTTTTTCTCTAACACATTTCAAATTGTGCACTTATTTTGACAGAAATGGCGTCGTATATTTTTGAAGCGGATAAAAATGTCTATTACTTATACTTACTTGACTGCAGTCGGACAACGCTAACTGATAGTAACAGTCCTTTTCCCCTTTGTTGTAAATGGCTATTCCTTCCATTAAATGACACTTTTTCTTCTAACAGTTAAAATTCGAATGCAGATTGATTGTGAGACCATCCCAGACCCGCGACGAGAGACATCAGGGACAGTGACCATAGCAACTCAGGGTACCCAGGCTGGTGACAAGGAGTTGGCAGTTACTGGAACTTCAGGAAGAACGGCTCTAGACACACAGGATACCCAGGCAGGAAGGCTCGAGAAGGTAGTTACTGGAGTTAAGCGTAAGGCAGAGGAACCTCCTGCCTCCGCTGGTCTACAACTAGCAGGAAAGACAGAAGGCGTCGAAGAGGCAGGTGTTAAAAGCGATGTCGTACCCAACGCACAAGAAGTTATGAATTTCATCGGACTCAAGTATTTCAAGGTGGTTGACCCGACTAAACAAGAGGAACTAAATGGTTTTCTAAAGTATATGACAGATGTGCGCAAAGTTCTAGTCCTGGATGCTCAGACAGGAAGTTTGATATTAACAGTACTCTGTACTTCATTGGAGATACTGGATGCTCTGTGGCACGACTATTGTACAGGTCACCTGAATGACATGGCACAGAAATATCTTGTGACAAAGGACGTTCTGAAGGAGTTTGACCTGACTGAGCTGAAACTGACAACAGCTATTCAGAAGGAGGATTATATGGCTGCACGAAAGTTCTTTGTGCAGGGTTCAGGTGAGTGGGTACAAAGGGCTTCGCAGAGCTGTCTTTAACCGAATAAATAGGGCATTGTCTCTGTCAATACCTTAAAACACGTCAGTGGAGGTTTGTTGGCTATGTTTTTGTTTATGTCTATCAAACCTGTTTACAAATTTCATTCAAGAAATTTAATGGTCAGGTCCGATACTCGTGCTCTACTTCCTGTTAACTTTTTTGTGAATCCGCTGATCAGTGCATAGAGCTTTCGCAGTCGCATCTGTGCCAGAGTCAATTTTTTAGACGGTCGGAAGTATGTGCACTGTGTGTGTCTTTTCACTCTGAGCTGTCGATGGTTTTTAGATGAAAATTTTCGTGTTGAAGATGATAGCTATATTTTCTGAATTGAGTGGCTCACAGCCATTTTGATTACGAAAGTGATCCTATTCCTTTATCTTGCGCCAACCCAAAGTAATAAATATACTATGAAGCCTACATAAAGGTTAAGCCTGTATATGGTTTTTCAAGTTTCTTTGAAAACCAATATAGAAATATATGGATTTTCAGAATTGAACTCTATAGATCTGTTTGAGAAGGATATTCTATTTATCCC